ACAAATACCCTAATTACGATCGGTTTTAAAAAATCATTAACTAAAATCGAATTTGTAAAAATACCAATGATAAAGTTAAAGGGACAAAACCTGATCCTCACCGTCCTGTTTCTAGGTGTCGTGGTGCATTATCCAATATCTACTAGGAACCTTTTCCCCCAAAGTAGTCGATGAGTTCAACATGGAGTAAGATCGACATAAACAGTGTTGCGAAGGTGGCAATTTGGTATAACGAGCCCAATGCAAAATGTTGTCATTTAGTTGAATGCATTAGTTGTAGAGTATCAAGCTCATATTTAAAAGCAAAGTAAATTAAAATTGATCATCCATTCCTCACCACTTTGGCCACCCGTCTGCTCTCTCCTAGTCAATCAACTCATTAGAAGGTAGCCTAGCTAGTGTTGTTGTTGTTGTACTTTTGGTATTTTGTATTTTTTTTTGTAAAGCGACTTTTCTACTTATATCAATAACTGAAGACTGTGCCGAAAATTGAGGGTAAGGTGTAATGAAGTTAACAAAAGGGTGCTTGGCGCTATGTGTATGTGATCAATAATAATTTACATATCCTACATTTTAAGAAAATCTTCTCCTCATAACAGCGACGGAATAAAAGTTGTTTCTTTGTTCAGTTATAGAGGAAAATCTTATTTTGAAGATAAGAAGGATAACAAGCTCATTGCTATAGTTGTTTTTTTTTTCTTTCAAATTAATAGAGAATTATTTATCAATGATTTTTTTCAAAATTACATCAAGCCAGGATGGGTTCAATTTTTGAGGAATAATAGTAATAATCATATTTATCGAAGGAGGCCACTCGCCTTAGCGGTTTTCACTGGGGCCCTGCAAATGTGTGTGTACAGGAGTGTGTACAGAAATAAACAGGTAAGCTCAGTATCAGTTAGTTTGAGATTCGTTGGCAGGTTTCCAAAAAGGACCTCAGGTTACAAAAACCTTTTTTACAAATTAAATGTAATGTTATTTAGTCTAAAGGCTTATAAATCCGTTTTATTCTTTTTTCTTCAGACGAGAATGGCAATAGAGTTCTAAAGTGGTAACTTTATAAAAATTTAAAAGTTTGCGAAATTATGGAATTTGTCAAGTTATTCTCCCTGGAAGAACAACGTCAAAGTACGATGGTCGGTTGCTAGGGCTTTTCCTCCCTTAACTTCGTAAATTCAATTTTTGGCTCACAGAGCAGTATTTTATATTCCAAATGAAGCAAGACATTAAAACATCCTAATTAGAGAAAAAGTTCTTTAAATTTTTACCATTGTAAAGGTATTTTTGACGTTTCTTGAAAGTATGACGTCATACGTGACGCTTAATTTTAGTAGCAACATTAAAAACTTGCAAAGCAGTGTTCAAAACATTACAGACATTTTTGCTACACAAAAATAATATGTATAGTGAAAACCCCATCTCAATCGGATAAAATGGCGTAAAGTTACAGCTAATAAAAGAAATCAAATTTCCCCCCCCACATGACCATAGATGGTCAAAATTAGGGGTATTTTAAACGCGAGAACAATGAATGTATTGTTTGCGTGCTGCTATGACGCGTTTTCGTCACGAAATACGTCTTTGTGAAGTCAAAATGACGTGTTTCGTGACGAAAAACGTGTCATAGCACCACATACCCTAAGTAGAAAAAAACTACAATTTTGATTTTATGTAACTTTGTCCTTGCTCCTGTTCCAATACATTCAATGTTCTCGCGTTTAAAATACGCCTAATTTTGACCATATATGGTCATTTGGGGGAATTTGCATTTCTTTAGCTGTAACTTTAGTCCTTTTTATCCGATTGAGATGCGGTTTTTACTAGAAATCATAGAATTCTATACAGAAAACTTATGTAAAATTTTTACCATTTCTTTCCTGAATTTTTGTTCTGATGCCAAATTGGACATCATTTATGACGTCACAACATAAGTCACATGGGATGAAAGAAAAACCAAACTACTTCCCTGCCAAGTTTCGTCACGTTCGATGCATTCTACTTCTGTCTATGGCCTAAAACTCTCAGTTTTGAGAGGTATTTGGGAGAAAAAGCCCTAGCAACCGACCACCGTGAAAGATGCCTATTAGCCCGGGGGGTACTTTAGGACTTTTTGAGTGGGGCCGCTGGGACCATGGAACCCTTACCCTATACCAGTTAGTTCAAGTGAATTTTGCTACCCTATATCAGACTAAACTCCTCAAATCCCCCCTATCCTAGAGTATCTGTTTTCCAGAAACAACTGAGGACAGTCCAGCCAAAACAAAACCGATTTGATTCTTTTATATCTTTGAGTGGCAATTCCCGGTTTCCCTAGTCTAGACTAAAATCTTCAGCTAATTGATCAGGTTAAATGTAAAATGATACCCTCTTCTAGACCCAAACTCCCTGATTTATACTCCCTATCCCAGGGTAAACTGCTTTACAGCGGCACATACCTATATAGCCCATATATGGCAGTACCCCCCCCCCCGCCCCGCCCCTATTAGCCAAAAATGAGCTTTTCGAGGCAAATTGTGTCTGAGATATTAGCCCAGTTATGCTCTGATGACTCCATACAAATCCTTCTAAATTTGACTCGGGTCTAAACGTTTAGAACTAATAGAAAGAACGGCTTTTGTTCACAGCTTAATGCAGCGGAGAAGTTATTATAACACTATGGGTCCTTTGAAAGCGGTTGGATACCTGACAGTTATTTTTATTTTTTCTTACCGATATTTAAAAGGTAACTGTGCTATGCCTTGATCTGTTTAAGATAATGAAATTTTTGCATTAAGTGGCATACCTATATTTGAAAGAAGAGAACTATGATTTCAAATCTGTTAGTTGGAAAAATACTGATTATATTCTTTTAATTAATATAAAGGTTAACGAGGTGATGCATTGTCAAAAGTGCTACAAAAAAGGAGCAAAAACCCACATCTTTCCATTAATTAGGCCATTCTTATTAATTTTATTGACACTGTCAGGGACATGCGAATATGCCTTCCTTGAGTACACATTCGCTCGTCAAAAATCTTTGTTTGTGAGGCTGCACTTTGTATTTTGCAGATCGTGTAATTCTTGCTGCCTATCGTTGCATCGAAGAACATAATTTTGACTTTAAACGTCCAGTCGGCGCGTTGTTGCCTCTCCTCTTCGCTTTCCGCGGCGTTCAGCAGTCGACGTTCCCTCTCTTCATAGATCGGTTTCGTTTGCGATGCAATTCCGGTATTTTGTTGCTGCCTCTCTTCATGTCTGTAGTCCCTGTAGCCTCTCCTCTGTCTCTTGTTGACGGCTTTGTCTTCACTGGGCAAAGCAATGTGCTTTCTGTTACACGGTTTCTTGCTGTCGTCTTCTTTTTCCTTGCTCGTGCTGAATTTCAAGTCGGCGTTCTCGCTCCAGAGGTGTTTCGGTGACAAATCGTCCCCGTTGAGGATTTGCAGCCTCTTGTTGAATCCAGCGCTATTGTGTTTGCTGTTCTGGGTCATTTGCATTTACGAAAATTGCTCCTGATTCACCAATATTATAAAAACATTGTTTCACGTACGATGAATTAAAAAAATTAGACAGTTTCAGTTTCCTACTCACATTTTTTTGCGCCATCCCCACAATTTGAACAGCTGGAACAGGGTATAACCCCCCGGGGGGATACTACCTTATATGAACCATATAGGTATGTGCCGCCCCATCGGGTAGGGTTTTTGCGCCGGTTTGGTCTGAAAACGGGTATACACTTTACCCATTTTGGTCTTGAATCGGGTATGGTTTTCGAGGGAACTACGGAAGTATATGAACGTATTTATCGTTTTCAAAAAAAAGAAAGCGAAATATGCGAATTCGAAATAGATTTGAATTATTTTCTGTGTTTGCGCCCTAATCTAAATACTGATGACATAATTTCTGCCTACAGGCCAGGTCTGAAAACGGGTATGGATTTTAGAGGTCTATTTTGAAAACGGGTGTGGATAATTACATTTTTGGTCTGAATTCGGGTCAGGATTTGAAGAACCGGGCGGCACAAAGTCTGTTGAAAATGACTTGAGACCCATCTCACTGACCTCTCCGATAGCCAAAGTACTTGAACGATTTTCTGACGAATCTTTGATTACCAGTGTGTTTAACAAACTGGACAATAAGCAATTTGCTCTTCCTGGTCGTTCGACAACTCAGGCTCTTATCTTCTTTATGCACACTATTTTGGAAGCACTGGATTCTTGTGGCAGATACATCAGAATTTTCTTCTCAGACTTTAGTAAAGGCTTCGACCTTGTGGACCACAATGTACTGTTTTATTTAGGGTCCTCGTTCGTGCGAGATGGGCCATTCAACGGACGATGGTGTTAAATAACTTAAACATCATAATTGGCTTGAAATACTGCATTTTTTTTACGCGGCCCCTTTAAAGAAGCGTAGTACACACGCATCCTGACGTTGTCTAATATCAGAAACATAACACGGATTCGAAGGATTGCCGATCCCATTCAGATTAGCCGCCATCTTAATATGGTCGCTGGGGTTCAGATTTTCTTTCTGTGCTACGGATGATAATTAGAATAGAAAGACGGACATACGTTGAGGTCCAATTTTTTCAAGTTTTAATGCTGCCTGCAAAAATCTCCATTATATGTGAAAGTTATTATGGTTCAGCAGTACGCCTTCACAAAATTTGTTTAATATCTTCTTCACAATTCTACAGTATCACAGTATCACAGTATCTACAGTATCATAAGTAATGATTTTCCGGCACAAAATTGAAATTAAAACAGCAAAATCCTCGTTACATATAGCTCCTTTAGGGCTTCACGAAATAGTCTAATAAGACTGAGTGGGAATTTTACTTATGGTTATACTTCAGAAATACTACTCCGTTTGTTTTAATTCATCTAAGTTCTTATCACGTACAAGTAAGGGGTTTTGTTACAATCAATGTTAACGTAATAAACAAATTGGAAGAAGATTACTGAGTACTATTAATTTCTTTGAATCGAAATCAAACATGGCCGCATGCTCAAACAGGTCATTTAAGTGTTACAGACCACGCTTGCATCCTCGCTATGGCTACAGCAACAGTTTCTTCCCCAGCCAGCATGTGTGCAGTGAAACAATGAAGTCTCTGTTCCACTGCACTGGACGTCATCCATCCAGATAGTGCCAGATCCTTGGCCATACCGTGCACTATGAGGTGCCGAAGACGCACTGGGGAAACCAAGCTGACGGCAAACCACATGAGCGTCATTGATATCCCAGAGATCATCACACACTGTGCCCCATAGGCCGTTGTTATAAACTTCAACTCGGCCATAATTAACACCGCCATTCACCAAACGAATGTTAGCAGAATCATAGGAACACTGCACACTGGCATCTCTGCTGTGTGTACAGTCATTGTTTCCCCATCCACGGTGTCTGCAATCGTAGATATGTGATTCGCTACCTGAGCAGGCCACGACATCTATCCATATGGGACCAGAGCCCTGACCATAATAGGCGCTGCCCCGAGCCTGACTGGCTAACTGCGAGAAACCCAGCTGTCTGCAGACCACGTTAGCGTCATTTATGTCCCAAGCGTCATCGCAAACTGTTCCCCACTGACCATCATAGAAGACTTCAACTCTTCCAGCCGATGGGATGCCATCCTTGAGACGAACTGAACCGGATGTCACAGCTAGCGTTCAAATAAAAGGTAAAGTGAGTCTACAATTTTAAACCATATATTTTTTTTTATATTGCACACTCTTCTAAAAGTCCGTTTTGGTGGTGCCAAAGGTCGGGGGGAGGGAAGGGGAACTTTTGCCGCTCAGGTCGACTTGTTGGCATGTCCCTGAGTGTTCTCTCCTGAATCAGGGTATCTGGACTTACATTCCAAACATATTTAGCTATTCCTGTTTTACATATCTAGCGGAATTTTTGAAAACGAACCTAGCAAGATTTGCAGTCACGAAAAAGGGCCTAAAAGCGACCGATAAGGCAGAATATCATACTAAAGAAGAAGAGGAAAAGGAAAAACTCGAGGGTTTGAGGTCTGGGTCAAAGATGTGCTCGATCGATTGGCAATATCTCTCTCTAGTATACCTAGAACAGAATGAAATTTTTCCCCAAAGGTAACTCTTGAGGTCTTCTTGCGCCTTAAAATTATGGTAATATGAAATGTCTTGCGACCAAAAATTAAAAATGGAGGAAATTGGCGAATTACAAAGGAAATTAATTTGTCTGGATAAATAAATTGGCGTTTCTGGTAGAGGGTAAACATACCTTACTTGTACGCAAAGCTTAAAATTAAAGTTTTAAGAATTAAGGATTAATTTTGGGCATTAAAAATGATGTTTTACTTCTTATTTTTTTTTTTTTTTAATTTAAGTGCAATGGCCAATCATTCCAAACGAACGCGAAGTGTTAGAAGTGTTTAATATGAATGAGAAAAATGTTATTGCTTGATTTCTTTCCCTAAACCCATTACCAAGTTGTCAATTACTTAAGATTTTTAGAAAAAAAAAATGGTCACGGGACCTATCACGTATCACGTGACTTATCAACACAACATTTATACTTTATGTTAAAGACGATGAGTTTTTTTATGGGTACCAAATTTTGATACCCCTCAATCCTCTTTACCGAAGTAATAGCCAATAAATCTACTTGAGAATAGCAAGAGCGAGGAGAAACAAAGAAGGAGAAGAGATCCGAAAAAAAGCAATGGTAGCACCCTAAGCTTATATATTGGCTACTTTAGAGGTAGTTTTTTTTTTGCATGGCTAACATTTTCAAAACTGCAGCCAGATTTTAAGTCAAAGTCTAATTTTACGCACAAGGTTGAACCGAAACTAAATATTGTTAGACTTCTGTTACTTTTTCATGTGTAAGCCTGGGATGGTCTAACCAGGAACCCCGCTAGTAAAGATTACAGCGCTTTTTCTATTCATCTTGTCTGCGAATGAAAATACCTCGATAACGCGCGGTAAATCCTCTATACACCACGGAGCCATCAGATGTAAACCGCACATATAGCTTGGTGGACGAACTTGTGATAGGCGCTGGGAGGGAGCTTCCACTGAATTGGCCAATCAGAGGCGCGGAGGTCGAGTCACCATCGTACACACTTACATAGTCTGCCGACGATTCGGTGGCGAAATCGGAGAACAAAAGTTCAATCACTGCATTCGAAGTTAGACTCCATCGGCAATCCATGTTATCACTATATGTCGAGCCGCTATGAGTTGAGTAAATCGTACCGCTTGGTTTGCTGGCGTCAGGCACAAGAAGATTAGAGCAGGAGCTTGTCGCCGTCATTGTAGGAACTGTTACAAAAGTGTAAGGCAAAAGCAAATGTGATTTAAAACATGTGTATCGACATCAACAGTTGATGGAGGGGTTAGGGCTGTTGGTAGATCGCCTGTCTATAGAGAGGGCTGAAAAAGCCAGTTATGTGATTATTGATGTCAATTGTAATAAAGCCCTCAAGTAATGACAGTTGATTTTTGAAAAGATTACAGTTGGGTAAAAAAACCTACCGTATCTAATATTCATTGTTAATGCCTAGCTTACTTGAAACTTCCTTTTTTGGGAAAAACTGTAGTAAGCAATAAAAGGTTGGTTTAAAGGTTTATGTCCCTTCCAGACATCAGCAGAAATGATCAGAAACAAGATTTATAAATGTTGAAAAACAATTTTAAAAGAATGAATAAATAAGCTCCGAAGTGTTGCAGTGAAATGCCGCCCTTTGCCATTAAATGCGGCAAGATATTTTATTTATTCAAAAGAGCACCATCAGGGCGCATCATCACGTTCCGTTTGGCTACTGGATAGCGGGCTGCGCTCAGTCTAGGGCAATGCAGTAAATATGGCTCCCATTGCATTTGAGGACTTACTTACATTTGTGATCAATTTGTATTAAATCTGAGTGCTTCCAGCTTTATAACATCGGCGGTCAATTATTGAATTTGTGGCTTTTGAGGCTGTTGCGTTTTAGATCTTGCGTAGCCCACAAACAGTTAGCTCTTCACGTGATATATTTGCCTTGCAAACGACTAGATCTTTACGTGACCCGGATGACCACAGGCAGCCCAAGCTCAGATAGCCTTCTTCTTGCGCCCATCACTCAACCTCGTTCCCAGGGTTCTCTCCTACCCGCGTGATGGGCGCAAGCAGTCCTCTCTTTAGTAGTCGGAAAACTCTGGTAAAGGAAATCGCTTAAATTGAAGCGGATCGGAAAATAACCACACAGCAAGCAAAAACAAACCAAGTAAACAAGGTAAAGCGTTTTTTACTGGAAGTTCCAGCGAGTAATTAAATTCTTGAGTTTATTACCTGGACTCAAATACAAATCCTTCATGTCAACAGTCACTTCAAGGACTACACAAAATGATGCTGCGTATTAATTATTAAACTCTCATTATGAGCTTCGGCTGCCAGTGGGGCGAGCACGTAGAATTAAATGAAAATGCTTCTCTCGTCTCCTCTGGAGACACCATTTGTGTTAGTGACTGGTTAAATATTACTGGAAAGCCTAGCCTACCAGCTAGAGAGAAAAGAAAATGAACAAGTACACGCATATCAAATAAGATGGAAGTGGTGACTCCCTTTTTCACTATCACAAAACAAAAGTAAACAAATATGCAAAAATTAAAATATAAAATGTTCTCCGTTCTTGTTTATATAATGATTACACTGCGAGCAGAGGTTTCTCTCTTGCATTACGAAGTCGTTCGCTTGGCTTGTCAGTCACGCAGTTGGTTTGTTTTGTAAGCCCTAGGGGGCGCATAAAACAAACCCACAGAGGGCGTTGGCAACCACCTCCCCCACGCCCTCCTTGTACGTCCGAGACGTTAAGCTAGGGGAATGTTAAACAGCAATGAAATGTAAAATCCAAACATCACACCTTTCATTGCATTAAAATTGTCTTTTAAAAAGACAGAAGATGTTTAAGATTAAATTTTCAAGGCAATTATTTCAGATTGCTTTATTCTATATACTTACTGTGGCCAAACTATCTCATTAGTATCAATTATATATTTGCACCCCTAAAGGTCAACTGAAAATTGATCGACCCACCCCTTACAAAGGATTAAAAAACGGATGACCCACCACCTCTCTGTCCCCGGCACACCTCCCTATACTTATGGCCAGTACCTTAAATACATTGACTTGATGAATATAGCAGTCTTTTATATTTATTGAATTTGGAAATATGTACCTTCACATTTGCTTTTTCCATCACCGGTGTAGCCTGGTAAACATTTGCAAGAATAGGAGCCAGGAACATTGACACACTGAGCCTGAGCATGGCAAGAGTATGATCCTGTTTGACACTCGTTCACATCTGTATAAGAAACGGGTTTGAGGGATGATTCTTCTCAAGACGTTTTGCATCCGAGTCCACGCTTTCAAGGACGTGGCACAATAAGATTTTTTTTAATTGTATGGTGTCTTTACAGCAGTAGTTTTACTCACAAGAAAAGGTAAAATAGTCGCAATACTAGTGATAACACAGTCTTTTTCCTAAACCGAAACCGAACCACTGGAAAGCGCGCGATTTGGTAGCTATTTACATTTAAAGATTCATCATGACAACCCCTTGCTAACGTGTTCTCGGAGGCTACAAACACAACCGTCCCTTGACCGGCTCTTAACCGCGATAACTCACAGCTGATTAAAATTTGACGCAGGAGTCTCCGGAACCCAAAACAAATTGTAGTTTCCTTGTTTCAAATACCTCCTTCTAGAATAAATGCCAATAACTGAACGTTGACTTAGGTCACGCGCCTATCCACGGATTTGTAATCTCTGATAAAGGAATTGAGAAATCTTCTGTGAGGAAGACTGCGTGTATAATATAAGGACATGTCCATGGTGCTGTTAATCTCTACACATTATGATAGACTTAATTGCCTTACAATGTCAAAATTTCTGAAATTAACTACATGGGTTCTTAATTCGCTGTTTTTGTCATTTTCATCTAATAGATATTTAAGGTATTTAAAGCTACTCACCTGTACAGTTCTTTCCACTAAAACGATATCCAGAGGGACATCGACATGTGTAAGAACCATCATTGTTCACGCAGGTGGCGTTCACTGGACAGTCGTACGAGAAGCCTTGACACTCGTTATAATCTGAATTGAATCAATTTGAAATAAACAGCACTACCATTAAAGAAATAATCTTTCAGTAAGTAATCTAACTGTTACTGGTTGTTACCTTAGTTGCGGAAATCCTCGATGCTAGGTACACCGATTCCAGAACAAAAAAAAAGAAGAAGAAGAAGAATTTGCATGCACACTGTAAGTAAACCCCAGTTAGTCCTTTCTTGATCTATTCCGGCTATGAAAAACGCATGACGATGGACGCAGAAAGCAAAAATGGAATACGGAAAAATTCAAGGCAATCAATTTTAGAAGGAACATAACAGATACTGTAGGTCATAGATGCGAACTATAATGACTGAAATGCAAGAGACATGATTGGTCAGTTGCTTCCAATCGGTTTCTACAGTTTGCAGCTGCACAACATTTTTGACCGATAAAGTCGTTTTGTTCACGAATTGCTTGGCTGGTTATTGCATTATAATTTGCTACATAGTTAAGGGGGCACCTTTCTTGCAAGTGAACTTGTGACAGTCAGAGCAATTGACATCATTCCACTTGTACTCGTGACCACGGAGAAACCCAAGGGTATGGACACAGTCTTCGTTTCTGAAGTTGTTTGGTTGGTGGCTTGCCCAGTAATGGAAGTTAAAAGAAGTTCCATCACTCCAAACAAACGTTCCTTCAGAGTTGATATCAGTGAGGCCCAACCAAGAATGCTCCCCTCCATGGAGGTTTTGAACATAGACATTTTCTTCCTGATTGTGGATACTGGGAAGATTAGCACCCAGAACTGAACACTTTCCTTGACTACCGCTCCACGAATCACAGGAAGACACTTTTCTGTAACAGTATCCTTCAAAGTAGGTCCAGTCGCTGGGACATATGTCTGTAAAATAGTAATCGAATTTATTACATCCATTTTGAAATTGCCTTGGATCCTTTCAGTCTGATTGGCTACCAGCAGTGTGAGATATTCACGAATCAATCACACTATGTTTTATACTTTAAAACACATCTGTACTAAATACATCATTTTTGTTCAAAAAAGCAGTTCTGATCTATACCACTTCGCTTTTGGTTCTAAATCGCATTATTTCTAATTTGTACCATGATGCTCTAAATCGCATCATTTCTGTTTAGTTTAATAAAATATTGGTACCGACTAAAATCCTGTATAAATTTAATCTAATTTAATAACCCTAATGCAGGATTCAAATATTTCCTGATTTCAAAATCGGTGATTATTCAAACTCGTGTCGTGCAATTTAGGTCTGAAACCATACGGTCTTGTGATTTCAAATCGAACTCGTGTTCACTCGCTGTTTTATTTTGAGATTAAGCGCATGATTTCAGACCAAACCGCGCCCCACTTAGCTTAATTACCAAAATAAACGAATTAGTGGCAGAAAGTATCATTTTAATTCCCATAAGGAGACAAATTTTTGCAATTAAGGACGTCAAATAGTATCGGTTTTTCGTTGTTTTTGAGAACCATCCAGGGAAATTGTTTCCTCATTTTAATCATTAATTCCAAATCAAGAATTCAAAATAATTCCTCTAAACGTGGCTTAGCTTTCACATGATGATTCTGCTTTAATATTGACTTCGATTGTCAAGTAAAATCGCTGGCTAATAACACTTAAGCATAATAACTTACTGAAGAAAGTACACCTTCACTGCTTTTGTCAGTAATACTTGGCCAATATAGGAGGAGTTTTTATTCAATATTTAATTGTTATACTGAATGCAATGGATCTCATTATACCTGCCAATACTGCATATGATACAGTCAGTGGATCAAACTGCTGAACAAAGAGTTCTTTGACGCAAATTCGAAATCCAGAGTTGTTGATAAACTTAAAGTCAAGGAAAAGATAAAAGTTTGTGAAAGGAATGTTTTCATAAATTAATAAATGTATTTTTTCCATGACAAGAAAAGGGCAGATTGTTATTCAGAAGGAGACTGAGATTGAAAATGCATCACTTCTCGACCAACTCATTAGATCATTATTATTAGAGTACGAGTACTACGTTTCTTTAACACAGTAGCGCGACTGTAAACAGGCGAGCCTGCTAACAATCCCCCCCTTCCCTCCTGTTAACGGAATACTACGAATCATAGACACCAAGTTTTTGTAGACACCAACGCACTGGGTGCACGAACTCACAGTCAGTAGTCAAGGGCTTTCCTAATAGAGCTAACCGGACGGTAGTTAATGTTTGGTTACGTAATACATTTAGTTACTCAGTCTGTATTATGAGTATGCACGCGATGGCTTGTAGCGATATTCTAAGGTGTCTAAGGTAGCAATGGAAGCAGACCGTGTCTGATCGGAACTGCTCGAGGCAGCGTGTTGTCACCATGCGAGATATATAACCTCAGAGATTTACTGTATTTGATAACGACCGTTCTCGGATTGATTCAAATGATCGGGAGAAATCATGTGAGAATAAAATACACAATGCTGCACCCTTTAGTCCTCAATGATGATATGATGTACAAGAAAGATGAATAAAGTTTACTTATCTTTTGCTTTTAGTGTGGTCTTTTGGATTTAGGTGGCGTTTTGAGTCGTTTGCATTGGTTTGAAGTTGGCGCCCCGACAAGATACATAAGACAACGAAAAACGTTATTTGGGGCGCTAATTTCAAGCGACTCAAAACTGGCCACCAAAAGGCAGAAGACGGTACTAAAAACAAACGGTAAGAAAAAATAATTCACCATTCTTTCTTTCATCTTTTTATTTTTTAATTATTATTTTTTTTTTCTTTACAGTATTTCAACTTTTGACTGGAGGAACGAAGGCGAGCGTAGTGACTGACACTCTGGGCTAACTCGAACAGTTCGGATGGTCTGCCTGTGGTAGCACATTATAGAATATTGACCTCAACCCAGCTGACAATTCCGTTGCATTCTGGGGCCGCATTTCCTCCACCGCTAGAATGTTTGGCTGTTAGCAGCACTGTTGGAAAATTGTTGTAACCTCGTACGAAACTCACATCCTGTCATAGATATAAAAAAGAAACTTTAAATTGCATTTCAATTTGTTTCTTTTAGTATTTTCTCAAAAACGTTTGAATACATGGAATGAACATCGACAGGAGCCCATCACATCGAACTTTATTCTCTCTCTTTTTTATCAATTCAAAACATTATCACCGAAAAGGATATAACATTTAATTGCTCGAGTCTCCACGAACTGTTTTGAAGAAACGACTGGCATGGACGTTGAACAGGATTTTTCGTCTTTTTTTCCCCAAACTTATCCCCGTTAGTCCTGTTTGCTACGGGGAGGAATTTATTACATACCTTGCAGAAAGCGAAATTATTACGTTTCGAGGGTACATTCCTGTTTTGAAAATTTACATCATTATGCTCTGAGAATAGGGGCCTATGAATTGACTCAAACGCCAGCCAGTTCTGCAATGAAACAACAAAAAAGAAATTAAAAAATGTCTGAGGGTGGGTAGAGAGAGAGAGAGAGGAAGGAAGGGAGAGAGAGGGGGGGGGGGGCAGTGCACCCGGGGGGGAGGGCTTGCTCAACAGAGTTTTGTACGCGGAGTCCCGCCTCGAGGTCCAACCCCTCACCCCTTTATGTACCATTTTTGAGAGAAAAGCCTTTCACGTTTCTAGATAAGAACTTTGCATCCCTTTTAACTGCTTTGAATGTACTGTCTTTAAATATGCATAAATTACAAAACCAGAACGTTTTCTCGACTTTCTCACAGCCATAAATTGCATCTGTTAGTCCTTTTGGACCTTTTTCCTGATAGATTTTCCTACCCTTTCATATAGCTGAAGCCTGAAAATGGTACCCCTTTCGGGCGGAGTCTCCCCGTATAGGGCATTATAGGGAGTACCCTCCGGGGGCAGCCCAGTAGAGGTCGCTTACGATGCGGTGCACTAACTAAAGGTGAAATAGGGTAGCATTTTGTTGTCCCCAATGTTCCTCTACTTTAAAATAAAAAAGGACGCTTGCAGGTATTAATACTGTGCTACTCTGCACTGCAGACTTTAAAAAATTGCAAATGTAAAATGGGAGAAAAAAAAATATGTACAGTAGAGTAATCTAGTACTTGTCCAATGACTTGCATGCCAATATAAGCTTACCACAGAAATGTCGTCATGAACTCCGGCAAAGTTTTGAAGTTCTCGGATACAAATCTTGAAAGATCTTGCGGACGCATCTTCAAGCCAGACGGTGGCGGCATCGTGTCTCAGATGTGCTCTGTGATGTTCTGCTGTTACGAATATGGTTGGCGAAGTAGTGTACTTTCCCTTGAGAAAAAATCATAATCACTGTTGACACGTTTTCATCGGCAGATATTGAAATATCAGTAAACTCTGACCACTTACCCTACAACTTTATTTATCACAGGTAGCTCAGGTTCTACAGGAGTTCGTTGGAATTTGAATTTTTTATGGAATGTATGAGCAACAAAATAAATCCCTCTTTTCAAAAACAGTTGCTAACGGGGTGTTAGGATCGTTTCTCAAGATTGGTTGCCCATTGTTTAGAGTCAATACTTGTGATCTTGAATGGCATGTTGAATCCAAAACCAGGAATTTCATTCATATTGGCAAGTTTTAACGGATAATACAATTAATTTTATACAAATTTTATTTGTTGCTTCGTATGCCGTAAAAAGTAACCCACTAATTCATTATTGAAAGTATTAAACCCTGAGGGATTGATGGTATCAGTGAAAATTAATCAGCCGATAGTAAGCCCAATTTTTCCGATGACATTAGCTCCTTCTGAGCGTGCCTTAACCCTGCTAGGTTTTTTTAAAAAATTTAATTTCCCTTGCGTCCACCTACGTTTGGCAATGTCACCGTCTGACAACTAGTTCCAGTCCACCATCGAGGAAACTTTTCCTCCCCGGCCACACCCCCAGGGGGAGCCCCTTGGTAGGCGATCCAATCAACAGTGGCAAAGCTATCTGCAGGGTTGTCATTCCTTCCTGCTCGAGTAACACAGGCGGTAAACTGAGTGCTGTTGACACTTTCAACCCAAGGTATAACAGCCTCGTGTACAAATGCAGCATCAGTGTAGTTGACATGGTTAACAGTGAGCTGAATATGGATTTTCTGGTGGGGGTAAAATATGTATGGCTGAAATTGAATGGCCTCACACTGATCCTCTGCCCACGATGGAAGATTTTGGAACTCATGCCTTCCCTTTTGCATTGGAAATCCTATGAAAAATACAAATATTGAAAAAAAAAGTGAAAGCGAATAGAAGAAAAATCGAAGACAACACAAAATGTTACCCTAAATAAGGAACTTCGTTATTAAAATTAAACTGAACTCAAATACCTCTACAACTACCAGGATGATACTGAGAGTAGTTTCCTTGCGTTTCACAAATCTCTTTCTTTAGTGAGCACAGATTGTTGAAGGTGCGACCGTTAGAAGCGCACACCTGTTCATCATACGACGGGCAGCTGCTTTCACAAACGCATGAATACTGTTGTGCAGAAGAGGCTTGGCAGTGACTGTAGTACTTACAGCTGGCATTGTAACATGGGTCAATATCTAAGAGAAAAATTAAAAATTTGGGAACTGGGGTAGAATATTATAGATGCTAGATAGCGTACTGGGTCTAAAGACTGACACAAGTGTGTTTTTTTAATTTTGTTATCACATTCCACGCTCATGGCTACACGATATAATATGGTGACGACTGAAAAAGAGTACAATCCAGCGTTATTCAGTCGGTTGATTATCAGTCACATGTGAGAAAGTTTCAATACACGATTAGTGACGGGGAGTTCAGTTGTACAAACCTGCTTTTCTGAAGGGAGAAGAGTAACTAATAAATGGACACCTAAAGAAATCCACTCGTTGGTTAGTTAATTTTTAGATGAAGTATTTTTCAGAGGCGCCATGAATGAAACATTTGGGAGTCATAGAAATAAAAAATTGTACGGCCTATGTCACCTCCGATAACCAAGTAGTCCACGGCTGCATCGCTTCTCTGACCATCGTATCCCGCGAAGTCTTTGATGCACACTCGAAAGAGAGTTTTAGTCACCTCCTTTGAAATAAACAAAGTAAACATGCTTTACTCAATATTCGGTTGTTACTGTTTTGTAAATTTAGGGTTGGAGCTTAAGAGTACTTGCAGTCGCGTACAGATCAGACTTAGCCATGCACTAAATAATAAAAATATGTTCTAAACTCCCAGGGGAGGGGGGGGAGGAAATTACTCCCGATTTCAAGCGACGGGGATGATCGAATGGCTGCTAAAATAAAACTCCAAAAAGATCCCAACGGCTTCCAAGAAAGCCCCCCGGCTGGGATACTCGGGCACTACTACGAATCTTCAGATTTTTTTGAATACCCAAAAAAGCCCCTGCTTAAAACAAGCCACCCAAAATATATTCACAAAATGGTCTGACCCAAAAAAATCCCCGAATCGAAAATTTCAAACCCCCCAAAATCCTTCGATCATGCCCGTCACTAGAAATCCGAAGTGACCCCCCCCTCTCATTCGTTACTATATATGAATCAGTTAACGTATGGTCAATAGAAAAGTCACCTACCTCAATCCAGCTCATTAAAGGACCTTTGACTGCGCACGCTCTGTTGGAACGGTTACTTCCATAATTGGTTACAGTTGTTAGCACCACTGGTGGCGTGTAAAATGGCTTCGTAAAAGTAACATTCTACCAGGGGAATAACTATCATAAGTATAATTTCGTGTTATAGTACCACAACTACTATAAAAATAAGTTTGAGATGTTCAAGAACTGTTCTTATCAAGGATCCGAAACAATTATTACAAATAATACAGATAACCTTCTTCGCATTGAACTGAGTATGGAGAATAAGTAGTCGATAATGAGGCTAAAATATATTATTATTCATTCAAAGTATTTCTCTGCTTCTGATTGGGTAAGACAAGACAAAAAAACAAAAACTTATCTGTTTATATCCTGACTAAAAAGCCAAAGTTTAGAAGAAAGTCTTCGAGGAGGTAAACTTGAACAAATAATAATAAAAATGATTATTGCATTCGGCTTTCGTATGATGTAAAGAATTATGCAAATCTTGGAGGATTTTATCCACCGAGGCTGAAGGCCGAGCATTGCGTGACTCCGACCGAGCAGCTGCGAAGGAGACTATTGCGTCCTTTGCTTCACTACCGGAATTTATTCTATCGACTAATCTATTACGTTGATCACGTGATAACACTCACCTTACACAACGCGAAATTGGTTCCAATAGTCGGGACTTCGTTCTCAGAGAATAGTACAAGGGAGGACTCTTTAGCTTCCCATGAAGGGGGAAACGTTTTGTATGCCATCCAGTTCTAAAGAATAAATAATAATAATAATAGTCATCATCATGATCATGATCATGATCATGATCATCATCATTATCATCATCATCATAATCATAATCATAACTATAACAAAATTGTCAAATCTGATTGGCTATCAACTGCCCTGGTTTCAGCCTTAATTGGGCAGTTTAATAGGACAGTACGCGTCATGCCTAAGTAATTGGACAGTACGCGCCATCACGCGCGCGCTTAAATGGCTTTTTTCACTGCTAGCGAAACAAAATTTCGAATTTCTTGTGTTTTGATTTAAAATTATAGCTTATTATATCACAAATTTTGTTAAAGTTATGATTAATTGGTAACAGAACATCGTGTCGTCCAATTCGGTCTGTAATGATACTCGTGATTAAACAAATCGGACTCCCGCTACGCGGTCGTCCAATGTTGTTAATCACTCGTATGATTACAGACCGAATTGGACTCCACTCAGTCCTGTTACCATTACTAATATTAATGATAATAATGATAATAATAATACTATATTATGATACTACTACCGCTACTTCTACTACTAAGTATAGGTAATACTACGAGTGATAGTTCAAAATTGTACGTTATACGAAATTTCACAAGCCCTTTAAGCGAGTGAAATTTGAGACAATTTTGAAATATCACAAGTGGTATTTATGCCAAATATCACGTACAAATCATGCTATTATTTGTTTATACTACTACTCACAAAAGGTTTGTAATTTTCACATGTAGGTATTTCAAATTAAGCTGAAATACCACTGCTCTAAGCCAATCAAATTGCAGAAATTTCTCATGTAGTAGTATAATAAGAATAATAATGATGTAAAATAATAACAATAATATGCAATAATAGGCTACCATTCCCTTTGAGCATATGCTGATTGCAATCAAACCGAGAGATCTGTTCTGAGAAGAGGCGGCGACTGTACACGGTTATTTCAATCACTTAAAAAAATAGATTAAAATCGTTCAAAATTAAAGTAACATGTACCACGACAAGGCCGTTATGAGCTCCACCAAATGTCCGTGACTCCCGCAAGCAAACTTCAAATTGGCTTCTTGAAATGCTTTCTATCCACACATTCATTGCGTCCTTCATTTGATCCAGGGTTCCATGTTTGACAGTCACTTGAATTTTAGGAATTGATGAAAAGACCTAAAATAAAATTGAGATTAATGTTTTACATTGTTTTTCAATGTTTTGCTCATCACATCGCCACCGAAACAAAGCACTGCGTTTTCACCATTTCCATTGTTTCTGCGAAAAGCCAACACTATTTCAGATAAACCGCTGGACATATTATTTTTTAGTTAAAATCTTATTGCACCCGATATTACTCCTAAAACTACGATATATAAATGCACAAGAGCGGAACAGTTGTAAAACCCGATATTTGCAAAATGAGCAGGATTCAGAAACTAAAGTAGTACTGAACCCTTTTATTCAGAGCTTTACTCCCGACTGAACAGCCGACTTAACAAACATTGACTTTACCTGATAGAACGTGACTTTTCTACATTTTGTACCAGTGGTAAATAAGGTAAATCTAGTTTCGCCGTGTTCAACTCCTGACTGCGAACCTTGGAATGCAAACCAATCAATGGTGATGTTTCCATCAGATCCTTGGTCTCCCCTCACAACACAGGCTCTGAAACGGCTCGTTGACACATCTTCAACCCACACTAAAGTAGTACTATGAACTTCAAATGATTCGTTTCCGTGATTTACCGAGACGAACACTCTTACAGGTGTTCCGCTGGTGAAACTGTTGCGAAATGACACGTATTGGCACCCCCCAGTAACGTAAATTTTTCCCTTTTCAATTCCTGACAACAAAAAGAGAAAAAAATGGTAAGAAAAAAAGAAAATTAAAGCGAGAAAAAGTTGTTTGAAAGCCGGCGTGTGTTATTTATTTATTTATTTATTTCAGAGTTTTACCTCTCAAAGATACCTAAGTTCGTCGGGGTCATTAATGAAACCGTGACTGACAATACTTGATATAGTACCATAAACAAGCGGGTTTATCATATGCTGATGCTATTTGGTAAGAAGGGGTCAAGGACGAGAGGGGGGACAGACTTACAAAGGAGGGATTGATGACAATAAATCCCTCGCTTTATTTTTTGACTTTTTAGGTTTGGAGACAGCTAAGGGATCTTGTTGGACAGTACGCGCGAGACCGCGCGGCAAAAACCGAAAATCCCGTTTATTGGTCGACTTTCTTTTCTCCGAAACCAAGCGGAAACCGGCTTGCCACGCAGGCTAAGAGTTTAAGGTATGCATTGCTCCTTTTTGTGTGGCCTCTTGTCTTTGAGGATAGTATAAAATATCTGCTGCTTTCTGTGTCCAAAAAGTAATATTCGCGGCACAAGAGAAGCATACACATCCATTATCTAACATACATTGGTCTGAAAGAAGTCGTTGATCTGTTTCTTAAGAGGCACCCAACCAAGGAGGCTTGAGCTTGACACACTATTGAAAGATCCTGGTGATGTAAAGATCACGCAGCAAACCTAGCGAATAATACGAATGTACAACTTTCTTTCTATTTTTGTTTTGTTTTGTTTTTTTCTTTTCAAATAGTGACATGGATATTGTCATTCTCACTGCAAAAATTGTAAAAGAAAGTAAATAGTCTCTTTCTCTTTTGAACTTCAAAAAGTTTGATAAATACCCATGTTTTTCAAAATTTAAAGCGCTCGTAATGCAGCCTTAGACAACTTAGTTTCCCCTTCAAGAGACTTGTGCCTCCGGTCTCATTTAATTCGTCTCCCCCTTGGATCGCACCTCTCGAAAAAAAAGCTGGCTACGGGCCTGATGTAGTGTATGGGCAATAATTTGTCCTCGTTTTTGTTGTTATTTGTACACACTGTAGTAAAGGCGGAGCGTGCGATGTTACATGCGATTTCCTGACAGCTTAAGAGGCAATCAGGACGGTGAGGGTTTGCCTTTGATCGGCAAAACAAACACGCGTTTCTGTCAATTTTACATGTATGCAATGATTTCACCTCAGTCCGTAAAACGCCCATTCAATAAAGAGGCCTTTACTGAACCCTCAATTAATTTAACTGTTCAGTTGCGAGTTTCCGAAAAAAAAAAGTTGCATAGAACAGTAGACTGCTTGCAGTTCGCCTTTAATCTCTTAGATCCGTCAATTTCTTAGTGACAGTCAGGGCGTGCAGACAAAAACGGTTTTATGCAAAAGAAAACCTCGGGTTTACGCCCTCTTTTCTCGCGGCCCGCGGCAACGCCCGTAATGCCCTTGCAATCCCGTAACTTCAAAGAAAATAAAAGACCTCTCGCAAACAGCTGAAATTTTCTGCAGTTTTCACCTTGTGGATGTAATGAATAGGACATTCAATTTTGCTGGATCGATCTGATGCATGAAAAGGTTATACAAGCACTATCTGGTTACGTTTCTTGTACTTAATGCTAATTATAAAGTTTGGATGCGTAAAAGTTCGCTACTTGCAAAAAGGTGCTGCCAGAATTGAATCCAGAAGTAGACCCAGATGAAGTTGTTATTAATTAGTCATAAGGGAACGCCAGAACAATGGTTAACTAAGATTTGTTTGTTTGTCTGGCTAGTTTATAAGTCGACGAAGAACGCTTTTGGACGTAGATACTTAGGTAAAAATTATTACAAAATTAATGAAGGGCTTAAGCTCCAGCGGTAGCATGGAAAAAATCAGGGGCGTAGCGTGACCATTTTGACAAGTACGCACACCGGTCCATATGGTCTTAAAAACTTCGTACAAAATAACGTTTTTGTTTTCCTTTAATACATAATTGACAATTTACAGGGTCTACAGGCTTTTACAATAGAACGCCAGATATCAAGAAAAGCTAGCTTTTAAAACGTTCCTCGTTGAGCTGGTACAGGAATGTTTACAAGCACAAGGAGAGGCGCCTTTTTTGTGCAGAAATTTGGAGTTTTTGAAGCATCGGTTGGAAAAATTGCGGCACCTGCATGTTTGTGGAAACTTTCCCCACGCTTAGTCCTTTGCTGACGTTTTAAGTTTTTCAGCCACATTTCGATCATAAGCAAGGGAAAGGAACAAACATCAGATAGTTAGCATTTATTTATTTTCAGTTGTTCTGAATATCTCTAAAGTTTTAATTGTCATTGAAAAAAAAAATACTACATCTGTCCTGTAGGAGTAAATTTCCTGCAAAATTCTTGTGGATACCGCAAACGTGCACCTAATAGTTTGCTTTAGCTTACGTGGATTATCTTCGGCATGCTTTGGTTCATGTTTTTCCAGTTGAGCGACATTAAGGTAGTCTTTGATAGACGTTTTCGACATTTACGGAGAGAGAGAGAGAGAGAGAGAGAGAGAGAGAGAGAGAGAGAGAGAGAGAGAGAGAGAGAGAGAGAGAAAGGGACAAAGAAAGGGACACTCTCTTAGAGAATTAAGTAGCCATGTCAAGGGTTCATACGACTTTGCACCGAATTGCATATGCATTCAGAACTCAGTTTTTTATTATTTCATTTTGCAGTTCATTTTCCATATATGGACAATAAAGCCTACCTAGGACTTTATTTAATCTTCTTTTCCCAAAACGAGGTTCAGAAGTCGTGTATGACGAAGCGCTTCGAACGTCTGCGGAGGGCTTGGAACATTACTGTCATCCTCCCGTGCAAAAAATTAACCGACCATTGTCGAGATCTCTGCGAGATTTGTAATGTTTCTGAGATCTCTCCTGTTACGCGCGCAGTCATCGGCGTAGATGTTTACGAATTTCAAAAAATAACCCCTCTATGAATGTCCAGATGAACTCCTTTTTGTTGAAAGGAGTGACAATTTAGTTTTGAAAGTCTTCATGCACCTTTTAAGGGCCAAATTTTTGTGTTGTTTGTTTTTTTTAGCTCATGAACGCTTAATGCAGAAAAAACGGTTTTCTGATCCAAAAATAATACAACAAAGTTCTAAAAATGAGCGTTAAAATTCCAGTTAGTGGCAAGAACTCCAGTGTGGCAATTTTTATTTCGAGCATAGAACGATATTTTCTTAAGGTGAAATATTGAATGGCCTGTTGCATTGAGAACTCGGGTTTGTCAAAATGATGAGCTCTAGAACTATCTTATTAGACATTTATAGACATGAATAAT